CAGGAGAAAGGAGGCCCCCTCAGCCACCGCGGGACGTCACCACTGGGTCTGCCCTGCCTGCCAGGCCCTGCCCTGCCTGCCAGGCCCGGGGGCACTCCCTGGGAGCCTGGCCATGAAGGAGACTGAGAACATTTTATTGGAACGCAGGCAGCAGGATCTGCCAGGCGAAACAAAGCTCTTCTGTCAGGAGAGACAGGGACTGACTGGGGGCTGACTGGGCTCTGCAGATCACAGGATCCCAGAACCCCAGCGTGGTGGGGATGGGAGGGACCTCTGGGGATCATCTCCTCCAACCCCCCTGCTCCAGCAGCTCACCCACAGCAGGGTGCCCAGGGTCACAGCCAGGAGGGTTTGGGATCTCTCCAGAGCAGGAGACTCCACAGCCTCTCTGGGCAGCTGCTCCAGGCTCTGCACCCTCACCCCAAAGAAGTTTCTCCTCCTGCTCAGGTGGCACCTCCTGGGTTCCAGTTGGTGCCCGTTGCCCCTTGTCCTGTCCCTGGGCACCACTGAGCAGAGTCTGGCCCCAGCCTCTTGCCCCTGGGGCCCTTTAGCTCTTGCTCAGCACTGCTCAGATCCCCTCTGAGGCTTCTCTTCTCCAGCTGCACAGCCCCAGGGCTCTCAGCCTGGCCTGGCACAGAGATGCTCCAGCCCCTCAGCAGCTTTGTAGCCTCTGCTGGACTCTCTCCAGTAGCTCTTTGTCCCTCCTGCACTGGGGAGCCCAGAACTGGACCCAGTACTCCAGCTGTGGCCTCACCAGTGCAGAGCAGAGGGGCAGGAGAACCTTCCTCGAGCTGCTGGCCACACTCTTCCTCATGCACCCCAGGAGACCATTGACCTTCTTGGCCACAAGGACCCATTGCTGGCTCATGGGCAACTTGTCCACCAGCACTCCCAGGTCCTTCTCCACAGAGCTGCTTTCCAGTAGGCCAACCCCTCCCCTGTCCTGGTCCATGGGGTTATTGCCCAGGTGTTGAACCTCATGAGGATCCTCTCCCAGTCCTCTGGATTTAAATACACAGAGCAGATGGAGGTGTCAGGCCAGGACTGCAGCACAGGTCCAGCACTGCCCACCTGGGCTGCCTGGCTGCTCCCCAGAGGGTGGGTGACCCCCACAGGGGCACGGAGTGGGGCAGGATGATTGCCAGCACTGCTGGAAGGGGGTCCTGTGAGGGGGGAAACTTTGGAGAGAAGAAGGAGTACTCTGTCTGCATTTTGCCTCTCGACAGACAAAGAGGATCCAGCTGCATTTCTTTCTTGTCAAGATTTAGCTTCTTGTTTTGTTTTTTTTTTTTCTTTTCTGTTCATCTTTCCTCTTACAAATTTCAAGTCTGCTTTCTTGTGCTCTGAAGAGGGAGGTTTTCTCAGGGCCTTGCTTTGCCTTGCCTGGTTTCCAGGGGCGTCAGGATCGTGACAAGGTTTTTGTGCCTCTTGTTTGGCTCCTTGAGCTGATGTGGGGGCTGCAAAAAGCAAACCAGAGAGTTGTTAAATCGAGGGGAAACCAGCCTCTGATCTGAGCTCCCCGCCTGCGGCTCAGGCAGAAACAAACCCCGTGGATTTTGTGGAGTGAGGGGCTCCAAACCCAGTGCAGAGCTCTGTAGGCTTTCTTTATATCCCTGGGAAAGGATCCTTGCTGCCCTGCTTTGCTCTGCCAGCTCTTGGCTGCCACCTGCAAGTCACACACACACATAGAGTGCCAGCTCTGTCCCCACTGCCCTCCCAGCACCAGGGCTGGGCACACAGGGGCCACCAGGCGTCTCCTTGGGGATCTCAGAGTCTCCCCCAGCCTCCACATGCCCAGGACATGGCTGTGACAGCAGCCTGTGGCACCTGCAGTGGTGGCTTGGATGCAGTGATAGAGGCTGTGCCCACGTTGCCAGGGCACACAGAGGCTTTGTGGACCTCTGGGTGTGTTCCTGCAGCTTCTGTGTTTCCTTCTGAAGGTGTCATCAGCTTTGTGATGCCAAGAGCAGCAGCCCAGCACTGAAACAAGGCAATACCCTTTTACTCTGCTCCTGTGAGACCCCACCTCGAATACTGCGTGCAGTTCTGGTGTCCCTACCATCAAAGGGACACAGATCTGTTGGAACGAGTCCAGGGGAGGCCACAGCGATGACCC